CCTCAGCCTCTCCTCCCAGCACTTGTGCTCCAGTCCCTTCCCCAGCCTTGTTGCCCTCCTCAGGACTGGCTCCAGCCCCTCCAGGGCCTTCCTGAGCTCAGGGCCCAGAGCTGGACACAGCACTCCAGGGGTGGCCTCCCCAGCGCCCAGCCCAGGGGCACAAGCCCTGCCCTGCTCCTGCTGCCACACTCTTCCTCAGCCAGCCCAGCAGCCATTGGCCCTCTTGCCCCCCTGGCCACACTCGGGCTCCTCTTCAGCTTCACTCCCCAGCACAGCCTCAAATGCAGTGTCCTTGTCCTCCCTGTTTTTCCTGGAGAAATCCCAGCAGCAGCTGTGGGAGGACAGGGCTTCACGGACACAGGGATTTTAAGCACTCAGACCCTGCTCGGGGCTGATCTGGGGAGTGAGATCTGGGCTGAAAATATCCCCATTTATTTCATGCTTTGATATTTCCAACTGAACCAGCATCACCCTGTTCCCATCATTCTAGGAAAAACCATCTTTTTATGGACTTATTTCCAGGCTTTGAGCCTTTCTTTCCTGAGTTTCCTCTTTCCTTCCCAATCTCCTGTGTGTTATCTGTCCCCACCGAGCTACTTTTTGAACTCCAGGTCTTTGGAAATCACCTTTTTTGGGGCTTATTTACCACAAGAAACCTCTTTGGCAGTGCTGTGAGGTGAAAGCTGGTGGTTTGTTCTTCCCATTCCAGTTCATTCCTTGGAAAAAGCTGTACCACCAGTACCTGATGAGGGAGGACTCAGCCCTGCGAAGAGTTGAGCAGATCCTGCAGGATTTCTCCATCACAAAGGAGCAGGAAGGATGTGTCTTGGGGCTGATCACGTGAGTCCCATTCACCTGGAGATCCCCAGGCCTTCCCTGCTTTGGGGCTTCTTCCATTTTATCCCAGGAATTGCCAGGAGAGGGATGGGTTTGTCTCCCCAGACGTGCAGGAAAATGAGGGAGAGGAAATTATTTTAGTGGTAAAAATCACTGGGAGGGTTCTGGAAAATGGGGGGGAAAAGCTTTCCCTTGCTTTTCTTGCTCTGTTTGGAGCGTGTGATCATGGAATCTTGGAATCATTTAGGTGGGAAAAAACCTGTGGGATCATGGAGTCCAAGCATTCCCAGCAGTGCCAAGGCCACCACTGACCCATGTCCCCAAATGCCACATCCACAGGGTTTTTAGATCCCTCCAGGGGTGGGGACTCCACCCCCTCCCTGGGCAGCCCCTGCCAAGGCCTGACCACCCTTTCCATGGAGAAATTCCTGCACAGTTCTAGGCAAGCCCAAGACAAGCCCAAGTGCTTTGCTCAGATCCCTGTGGTCCAGAGGCCAATTTTGTGTGGCAAATAAGAGCCAAACTGGGTTAGGAGCGGGGTGGATCTGTCTTCTGGAATCATGGAATGGTGTGGGTTGGAAGGGGAGTCGAAGATCATCCACTTCCAGCCCCCTGTTCCAACCCAGGGACACCTTCCACTGGAAGGAGACCTGGAGAGAGCCAGAAGGAATTTCCAGATGCAACCGTTTCAGAACTGGGAATCACTTGTCTAAATGTCTCTTGGCACTGGAATGGGCTGGAAATCCCAAGTATTTTAGAATACTTTAGAATATTTTAGAACTGGGAATCACTTGTCTAAATGTCTCTTGGCACTGGAATGGGCTGGAAATCCCAAGTATTTTAGAATACTTTAGAATATTTTAGAACTGGGAATCTCTTGTCTAAATGTCTCTTGGCACCGGAATGGGCCAGAAATCCAAGTCGCAGCCGGTCCAAATTTGGGATAACACCCAGCCAGGAACAGTCCAACCTGCTGCAGCCTCCCTGGGGGTGCTTTGGAGGGGTCATTGTTGCCCTGGGGACTCGATTCACTCCTTAACTCTTGTCCTCCCGCCCAGGTTGGTGTCGGCCACGCCCGTCAGGGGGAAGGTGGATCCTGGCGCGGTTCTCCAGTGTTTGGGAAGCCACCACCTCTTCTCCAAGGCCCAAGTGTGCGTGGCCAACAAGCTGCCCCATCTGCAGAGCAAGACAGGGGTGGGTTTCACACATTTATTTCACATTTATTAAATAAATTTCACGTTTATTTAAGCTTTATTTAAACTTCGAGGGCGTTCCCGCGTCCGAAGGTTCTCCCTCCGGGGTTGTTCCTTGAGGCTGAGGAGGATTGAATTATTTATCATGGAATTAGCAGGGGGGGTTTGAGGGTTGAAGCAGTTCCCCCTGCTCCTGAAAGCTCCCAAGTTTTCCCTTGCCTTTCCCTCTGCCAGGCTGAGAACATGTGGGCCATCGTTGCGGTCATGGTGCTGTTCTCCGACAGCGTCGGCGACATCCAGAGGCTGCTGGAATGTCTGAGGAGACCCCGCTCCAACCTCTCCGTGCTGGAGGTGACCGAGGTGCTTTACTGCATTGCCACGCTCCTGTTTGCCATGAGGGACAGGAATATTCCCATCACCAACAGGTGAGGAGCATCCCATCCCAATTCCACGGGCGGGGACACCTCTCGCTGTCCTGGCTCGCTCCAACCCGCCCTCGGACACTTCCAGGGATGAGGAGCCCACAACTTCTCTGGGCAACCTGTGCCGGGGCCTCCCCACCCTCACAGCCAAGAATTCCTTCCCAGTATCCAGCCAAACCTTCCCTCCTCCTTCTGACTGTGGTTCCCCCTTGTCCCATGGCTCCGTGCCCTCCTTTCGTGGACGTGTGTTCAAAAAAAACCCCAGTTTTTTTCAGAAATAAAAGCAGGTTTTCAAGCAATGGTAGAAACTTCCTGCTCAGGAATGGATGCACATCAACCACAACAGTTTAATGTGGTTTTTACCTCCTTGACACTGGTTATTTACTTCACTCTGAGTCCCCTGGGATCCTTGTCCACATTTTTTGGGATCCATCCTGTGCCTTTTGTTCACCTGGTGGTGCAGGTAAAACCCTTCAGGATTGCAGTGAGGATAAAATGAGGATTAAGGACACAGATAAATTCTTCTGAGGAGAAAAAAACTGGGAAGGAAGTGCTCTGGAAAAGGAATTTATAGCCAGGAGCTGGGTGGTCCTGAGGGCTGTGAGTTATAATCCAGGAGAAGGGTTTATCCCCTGTTTCCTCAACCTCAGGCCCGGGGAAATTAGGATGCTTGTTTGACCTCTCAGGGATGGATAATTGCTGGATAAAGTCATTAATTCGAGGAAGACACCTGCAGAAAACGTGGCAGATGGGATGTCAGTTGAAAAATCAAGATTTGTTCGTTTTGGAGATGAAAAAAAATCAAGATTTGTTCGTTTCAGGGGTGAAAAATCAAGATTTGCTTGTTTTAGGCATGAAAAATCAAGATTGGTTCATTTTGGAGATGAAAAAATCAAGATGTGTTCATTTTGGAGATGAAAAATAAAGATTTGTTCATTTTGGAGGTGAAAAATCAAGGTTGGTTCATTTTGGAGATCCCAAATCCCAACCTGGCTTGAAGAATCCAAAAGAATTTGGAACCCAGAAATCCCAAATCCCAGCCTGGCTTGAAGAATCCAGAAAGAATTGGAATCCAGAAGAATTTGGAACTCAGAAATCCAAAATCCCAGCCTGGCTTGAAGAATCCAGAAAGAATTGGAATCCAAAAGAGTTTGGAACCCAGAAATCCAAAATCCCAGCCTGGCTTGAAGAAT